AATTAATTCACTTGATCTATGTGTTGTTGTGAGCACTGAGAGGCCCCGCAGCTGAGGAAATTGTCCACTGAGGCTGCAAATATGGATGACAAGAGCAGCTGAGCAGCCGTGGGATGAGACGGGAACGAGGGTCCGACCCTGACGACCCTGACGGCTGATCCCGTTTCCTCCTCATTATTTAGCCCCCATGCGTGAGACGCCCCCAGGATCTTCATACAGCCTCTCTTATCTTTTTTTTTTTTTTTACTTCCATATCCGATGATGTGATGATTTATCAGAGCACAACATTAGGAGTGGTTATATAACCTAAATGTTGTGACCTACTATCGTGGTTGATTTTCACATCGATGCGTGGCAATGACTCACACAAAGAGTGACTGCAAAAATGTTCGATTCTGTCTGCTGTTTTTCCTTCCTTAAATCAGACAATAAATTCCCTCCTCTGAAACAGTTCGGCGCTAACATCGTTTCGGTAACCAGGATTTATAGATGGTTTATAATTAGGTTATTAATTCGGTTATTAACACTTTGTAAATCATAAATAAACAAGTTAGGCGATAGGCTAACAGTTTTCATACATTGATGCAGGCGCACCATTTGGCAAGATTCATTTAATGCTTACTACTCATTAATTTTACTAATGACTTACAACCATTTATAAAAAATTAAAAAAAAATTAAAAAAAGGAGGTAAAAGGGGCCTTAAAATAAGTGTAAAGCCCATCACAATTTAATAATGAGTTACCAGTTATAAATAATAGTAACTCATTAATAAGTGGTGATGTGTTTACACTTTACAATCAGGCTCCCTTTTGCCAGTTACAAATGTTTTTTGATCATCGAGATGCTGACGGTGGTTAACCACTAGTAACTTAACAAATATGTGATGAAGCAGACACGTAGCTACAACTGCTGGATGGTGACGGAGAAAATGAAGAAAGCTCAGTAACTAATGAGATATGATACAGTACAGAGAAATGTGGGCTCACTATTTGGCAAGCAACAGGTCACTGTATAACAGCTTATAAATGATTGTATGTTCAAGTGTTGAAGTGTTAACAAGCTAATTAACAAACTAGTTATAAACCACTCACAAATCCGTTATAAGGGTAGTCTTATTGTAAAGTGGTACCATAGTTTCTCTATCATTGTGGTATGGAGTTATTATGTCATACCTTCCCACTGAACACTCAACACGTGTCAGTGGTAAATAAAGGACACTATAGTTGCAAGTGTGACAGAACATCTTAGCACGTGTGTGAGTATCTGTTTTGCTACTGATATTTACTACCTCTTATACAAATACCAACATGTCAAAGTCATAACATACAGGGTGACTATGACACACACACATATACGCAGCCATTACCTGATTGTTTGAAGGATTATTTGAAGTAATATCATAGATAATATTCAGTTAAATATTAATGTTTGGGGCGTATGTGTCGCCCTGTAATTCAGTTTGCAATAATTACCTTCCTCTGGGACAGGTGAATATAAATGGATGATTGTGTAATGTGTTTGTGAAATATTACACAAACAACCTGAAAAATAATAATAAAACGAGCTGACACACTAGCTACGGTTAGGAAATAACAAATTAACAAAATGAGCACAAAAAGCGAGATTTTGTTTTTATCATGTCTATCACTATCTGTGTGTCTGCTTTTTTTTTTTTAATGTGGCTCACTTATACATGCGTCCATGTGCAATGGTTTGCAGGACTATATCTATATATATTTATATCATCCTGTGCTGCATGTGTTTGTGCTAAGAGGGCTAAAGTATTGCTGAGGGTATGAGAGGTCACCTGTGTCTCCGAGGTCATACAGTAACAGGAGGTGACTAAAGGCTGTCTCAGCCCTCTGTGACTGCCTGCCACGGTTACTTCAGCAGGCCAGTGTGTCAGTCTACTGGAGGGAAAGAGCAAACGAGACTGTCACTGCTGCCGTCAGAGAGTGACAGCATCACAGAACATCCCGCAGGAAGACGTCCAGGTGTGACGACTTTAAAAGAAGATAGCACGCTGTGATGTCTCATAACATTAGGTCCAACATTACAGACTGGATACCCAACCCACCGGTGTGGGTGGTTAGGATAGATCGTTTATCTCACTGTAACCATGGTCTTATTCACCTTTTTGTTTTTAAACATGTGGCATCACTTAGTACAGATTGATAATTAAAACAGGCTCAGTACTATTCAATAAAACGAGTCTGTGTAACTTTTGAAGTAAGAAATAACACAACCTACCTCGTTCTAATGAAACGCTGAGTTCACAAATAATAAAGCACAACCTTGTCCAATTTAATGGAGGAGTTTTGCTGCTACAGACTTTCTTGGTCTGGTATGACCAGTAAGTTATGATGGCTTATGTTTGCTAATGCTAGCCAGCTTTAGATAGATATTGCTGTCATAACTGAGTCTTTATTCAGTCTAGTTTTAAGCAGAGAATAAATGGTAAATGTATCATGCAGGAGGGGACAAATAACCTTTTACAACAGCCCTGCCAGTATGAACAGTATACTGCATTACTGAAGCTTCTAATAAGAGTATATCAGGTGTGTTAACTAAGCTCTTTGAGGCTGTAGTCTGTGTTGGCGTTGCATTGGGATCGGTTGTTAAGGTGCTCCTTTCGTCCCCCCATTTCATGAGTTTGTGTTTTGCTCTCTCTCGATGAGTCATACAGCATTTTTGATTATGAAACAGATCGAACATACACAGCTGAGGGTTACTGTCTATTTATAGGTCTGATCTCATATCCAACTTTTTAATCCTGCTCTTTATGCCCACATAGAACACTGAGGCCTGCAATACACGCAGTGATGTAACGGCCCAGAGCAGTTTGAGATTGCTCCACAGCATGTGTTTATGATAATATAGGACTGCTAATCTAGCAGCAAGCATGAGCATCTGATGTCTGTGATGTTTAAGCTGCAGCAGCATTAATCAGAATGCTGAAGCTTGTATTCATTAAGAGGCCTCCAATGTTGTGGGTAGGTAAGCGCTTCACTCTAAGGATTAAATTAAATGTATAGATAGTGAAAAGGGTATTTAAGCGCATGTGGCTCAACCTTTATGTTTTATCTGTTTGTTAATGACAGAAAATGTGGAAAGAGACACGTTTGATTATGAGTTTTTATTGGTATACATATTTGCTGTCTGTCACAACACCGTAGCTCACTGCTTCTGTTGCCTTTTTTGCTGACCATGATCTCTGCACACTCCAACACATGAACACACTACACACACACACACACACACACTCATATGCACACAATCTTTCATCTTCAAGATAAGGTCAGTAAATAAGGCAACCTATGATGATGACAGGCATCAACGGGTGATGCAAATATTATGGTACTTCCATATAAGTGATATAATGTGTTAATCGCATCGTATTTTCCGGGAATGCGTACACTTCCCAACTCTCTAGTCAGGTGGTTCTCTTACATTGCATTTACACTTCTCAAACGTGTGTTTAATGACAGAATAAACACATGATAAAATGAACTTTTGAAATAAAAAAATGTTACTATGAAGTCCCAATCCTGATTACTGACTTCATTTAACTACACCGTATATATTTCCAACACTTAAGCAACATATCCTTTATAAAAACTAGCCTATTTATTAAATATAGTAACAATCTCCAGGTAAGCACATAGTTTGCTGATTAATCTGCTGAGATTATATAACATCCTTAAAAGCTTTCAGTGTGTCATTGCTTCATGTCATATAGGCATTGTCCTGGGCAATATGATAAATGGAGGCTATATTTTCTATTGCTATGCAACTAAATAATTATGATGTATAAAGCTAAGAAATTAGGTTTTATCGTCTTTCTATGTACTCTGTCAGGACAATGTTTGTATAGCACTCTTTGTTTAAAACAGGTAATATTTCTCCATAAATAAACATAGACTCCTTCCATAAATTCTATATCCATTCATAAAATGCACACCGTGTAGTTTTTGGTTCTATTAACCAGTAAAGTTCAGATAGTTGTTCTACACCTTTAAGCTGGCAGGATCAATCATGTGATGCCACGCAAACGAGAAACCCTCCACACAGAGCAGTGCAAAGAGTTGATTGGCTGAAACCTGTGAATGGCCAAACGTTAATGATTAACATTCATGTCACAACACTGCAGTTTCATTCAGTCCTTGGTTCCTCCTAGCTGGCGCTATGATAGGCTGTGCCACTTGAGGGCGCTCACATATGACCCAGCAGTATGCCTTCAATCCGTCAGTCATATGGACTTATTTCATGAGGCACTATGTTAACATATGAAACGTGGCGATATGATACAAACAGGTAATAATCTGCTCTCTAACGGGGAAGGGGGTTTCAAGCCCTAAAACACATCCACACTGCAAAATCATCTATCAGTGTCTATCAGTGATGCAATAAATAAATAAATAAATAAATAAAATACATTCAAATTAGCAAGTAATACATTACCTGTTAATATGATAAAACAATTCCACACCAGCAATTTTGTGTTACAATATGTCATTTTTTCAAGCTGTTTAGTTGTACAGTTCACCACTCCCCTAGTCAGATAGCAGCAAGAAATCCTACGGCCTACCAGTGATCAGATTCAAGTCCTCGTCCACAAACTAAGCACCTCACCTGATAAACTCACCCTTCACAACAGGTAAACTAGGACGGACACTCAAAACAATACATTCCAAATAGCTGACGTGAAAAAAAAACGAAACGGAATACCAGAGAGATGAACAACGAAGGTGATAATTGACCTATAATATGCATGTTCTGATTTGGCATCCTCCTCATAATAAAAAGGTTTTCTTTCTTCTTCCTTGTCTCCTGTCCTGCAAGACACAAAAACTTTGCTGTATCAAATGAAGAAAGACAAGGAGAGGCATGACACTCCTTTTATAGCTTTTAGGTGCACTGAGGTCTTTCACATTATACTGAAAGACCCTTTGTGAGGATGTCACTAGTAAGAAGCTCACCTAGCGCTATACGCACTGCTTTATCGTAACTATAAACCTTTTGTAATTAAAACACAATCAAAAAACTGGCAAATGTGTAGTCACGTGCCTTCAATATTGTCTTCCAAGTTTGCTTTTATCCCCATACCTGACTTATGTAAAAGAAAAATGATTTTTTTTAAAAACCACAGATAATATCAGAAGCACAGGTCTATCCATGTATCGAGAGTATAGTCAAGCTAGGACAACAACTATCATGCCAAGTCTATGTTTATCTGACAGGCGTAAAGATAGTCATGATAATATTTCCTCACTTTGTTATGTGGCTGGATACAGAGCTATTGTTTGATTGTCTAGAAACTAAATGTAAGAGAGAGAGAGAGAGGCACCAGACTGTAAGGAAGGACAAGTAAAACAAACCAGTAAACAAATAAAGAAGTCTCTATATAAATATAAACTCTAGAATTGTCTGATAACTATGGAGTTGGTCAGCGCTTGATCAGTGCACACAAATATAAAACGGCAGTCCTGGAACAAATCGTTTGTTCTGATCGAGAATCAGCTTTATCCTGCCCGCTGTCTAACTTTTGCCACGAGGCAAGTAGAGGTAAATATTAACCCCAGGTCAGCGTCTAAAAGCAACTATACCAGAACTATACCAGTCTATAAAATGAGCATAAAAGATAGAAGGCACAGAAACACAAACCCACTGTGGAGTGGGGTGGACTGACAGCAGCAGTTTTTTCTTTTTTTTTTTTGGGGGGGGGGAGCAGACTTGATGAAGCTGCAGGTCTGCTGGCAGCAGATGGGTTGCGTACAACTTGCGAAGTCTGGAAAAAGAGCAGAGATTTATATATTTGCTGTCTCATTTTCATTTAGTTTGTTTTGGACCTCTATGTGGATATGACCGAGTCGTTCACATTTCCTCTCCTAATTACGCGAGTGTGACCACGGGCTGGCGTCAGTCGCGAGAGCCAGAGTCACATTCAGTGGATGATAAACCAAGAGGTGACTCAGTCGTGTTCCTGAATGCACCCCTGCAGACAAAAAGTGGCTTCTTCATTTGATCCATTGCATAACTATCCCTAACCGGCACTGAGCACAAAACGCTGGTGTACTTGAAGTCCCACAACACAACAGATTTAAACTGCTTTCCTCCATTTGGTCTTTCAGATCAACATGAAGGAGGAAGCCACTTAATGCTACAGATGTGATGCAGGCCTTTTATTGTACACCTTATATAGCTTATCCTATTTCATCACACCGGTCTTCTCCTGTGTTGTTTGATTTGATGTTTTTGACTGTGCAGGTTCTGTCTTTCCACCGACCTGCTTTGCCCCAGTCATATGTGCCCCCACAGACCCTTTGCTCTGTTGTCTCTTTTCCTGTTTGCCTGTGCCTTCCGTCTTGCTGGTGCTACGTTGGTGGACCGGGGTTGTTGTTTTCAGAGGGATGGGTGCTTTTCCCGGAGGCAGACGGGGGTCTTCTCCAATGTTGACCGTGAGGTTGGTGTAGAGAGGCTCCAGCTGTTTGGAAAGGAGCTCATAGGTCAGAGAGTTGAGGCCATCAGAGCGCCAGTTAAGTCTGGTCCTTTTCAGAAGGTCAAACCTAGAAAGACAAACATAACATCACTGGTAAGTGTGTGTGTGTGTGTGTGTGTGTGTGTGTGTGTGTGTGTGCGTATTTCAGGGTCAAACTTATAGTTATAGTTATAGGAATAGTTTGACATACTGGAAAATCTGTTAATATACTTTCCTCCCAAGCGTTAGGTGAGAAGATTGATACCACTCTCATGTTTGTCCATAAAATTTGAAGCTACAGCCAGGAGACAGTTATCTTAGCTTAGCATAAAGACTGGAGGCAGGGGGAAACAGCTAGCATGGCTCTGTCCAAATGGGGAAAATCATCCACCTATCCAAGTATTTCTTAGCCAGGTGCAGTGACTTGCTGGAAGTGATTGTGCCTGGAGAGAAATAGTTTCAGCACATACCACACCCTTGTAAAAAGACTTGGCATATTTACACATGTTTTGTATGGATTATACTAAAGAGATAAAAACATGTTAATTAGTGAGCTATAAAGTTTCTGGTAGGTGGGTTTAGTTGGCTTTGTAAAGAGCTGTTTCCTTGTTTTCAGTACTTATGCTAAGCTTCATTCATTTTACGGACTGCAAGAAAACCAATGTGTATTTCCCAAAATGTTGAATTATTCCTTTCACATTACCACATGAACAAGACCCTGAAAAAGGTAATAAAGTGCTCCTGACAGCGCTACAGCTGATTTGCAGAAGCTTGTTTTTGTAATCAAGAAAATCTTTCCAAAGTATTATGGATGAGAAAAAATAACAGATTTTTAAACCAAAAAACAAATGAGCAAGCTGCCCGAGGCAGCAGAAATAGTTGGCACCACAGAGCAGGCAGAAGAAAATGCCAACCCCATACAAAACAGCATGTCAACAAAAATGAAACAACAATTACTGTAAAGGCTCAACATGTCAGGAGCTGGAGGTAGGACAGGTTTGGACAAAAAGTGAAAGGCAACATAATCCTAATGCCTGGCTCCAGCAATGAGAGTGGTGCCCGGACAAGTATGTAGTGGCACAAAGTGAGTGATTATTTCTAATTTCTATTTATAAGTTAAATGCAGTATGTTATGTCATAGTTCAGAAACATCCAACTTAAAAGAGGCAAATACACCAGAAACTCAGATCAAGGGAAAAAAATGTCTCCATCTGTACCTGCGTGGGTTTTGCTCATTGCCTCTGTCTCCTTTATGCTTGATCATCTTGTAATGACCAATGGCCACTGGAGGGCGCACAATCTTCATGCCAGATAGACGAACTCTGGACAAGCAGCACACAACAGGAGTCAACAGGAACATCAGATTCTCAATCAGAAGGATAAAACTGGAAAACTCAATTTCAGAGTGAGGATAATATTACATCAACAAACCTGGTGCCCAAACATTCATGCTATTTTCTATTACTCAAAGCAATAACACTGCTCAATCTAGGTACATCTAGCCTCTAAAGGTTACATTTAAAAAAAACAGAAACATAAAGAAAACAAACCTAGAATTGTTTGTGATGTATGTGAATAACACCTCCCATATATGATGTATGGAAAAAACTGTGGTTCCCTTTTTCCATCTCTGGTGCTTGTGTCCCACCCCAGTCATCTAAGTCAATCAAAACATGTAAGTACTGTAAATGCCCTTCATATGATAGTTTTTCATTTGCAACCATCATGCAAAAATATTATTAAAAGTAGGGGAGAAGTATTGTAGTTTTGCTTCATGTTACAGTTTGTGCAAGCTTTTGGATTATAATTTTTCTGTTGTATTCAGCGCCGCTTATAATAGATTGGCAAATGCTAGAGGAGCCAGAGAGTGGAGAGAGGGGACCAAAGTATCATAGAAATGAGATGAGCTTGAAAACTGCCTGAAAACTGTTAAGCACGCAGCCCAGCCCAAATCTGCGAGCTAGTCCATGCGAGCATACTCACTGAGCCCACTCCAAGAGAAACACAGCAAAGCCACAGCAGTGGGACGGGACATGACGATGAAAGATGATGTTAGGACACATAAAATAAAAGCCAAAGAAAAGAAAAACACGTGACAATAAAACTGCAAACAAAAAGGATGATGGATAGATGAGTAAAGCAAAAGATAGTGAAAGAGTATGGGAAATAGAGAGGCTTAGATGGCCGTGCACGTCGTTGCAGGGTGTGGAGCTCATATTCACCGTCCTCACCTGGCAGCAATGTCATCATCCTCTCCACCCCAGCCCCAGTACTGGTTGGGAAAGCCATTCATCTTCATGTACTGATCTGGGGTTACTGCAGACACCCCACCAAAATACTGCGGGTACGGCAGCCTGGGAGAGTCATATCACCGATGCACAATCTTGAATTTAATGTCTCAGTACAATGCATTTAAACGTAATCAATCCATGTACACACGCACTGCTTTTACCTGTATCTGAACTTGTCCATGGCCACAGACAGGTGTGTGGGGAACTGCTTGTGGCAGGTGTAGGTGTTGTGGTCGTTCTCAGGCAGCAAGTCAACATCATGCAGGAAGATGCAGCTCCAGTCTTCATCTCTGAGGGCCTCCCGCACCCCAACGTTAAGCAGCTTGGCTCGGTTAAAAGTACCATTCCCCCACTGAAACCAGAAACAGAAGCAGGAGAGAACACTTAGTTACACACGAATGTATTGATTTCAAAACAAGCAAAGCATGTGTTAAAGGCCTCTGAGAAGCACTACTTCTTCAGGGCAGACTGGACACAAAAACCAGAAAGTGGCCAGGCTGGAGCTAGCTGCTTAGCATGCTAATTTCAAGGGGAGACAGGAAGTGATGTAAATAGAAACAAAATAAGAGGGTTACTTTCCACTGCTGGAGACAGCTCTTGGCAAGTAAAGGAATGAAGTCTGATGCTGAACTTGCAACGTTTGTTCTAGACTGCTAAGTTAACACCCATTAATGCTAATGTTAGATATGTAGCAATAGCAAAACTTAGAGACAGCTCCTTTATGTGCTCAGAAAACAACCACTGACAGACTTCAGCTCACTCAAAACTCTGCAGTTAACTCTGCTGTTAACCACAACCAAGAGGAGAGAGCACATTGGCCCGGATTCAGTTGCTTTTCACTGGCGTCCTGTTACATTTAGAATTCATTTTAAGGTCCTCCCCCTTATATACAAATGCCTTAATGGGCAAGGACCAGCTGGCTACATAACTAACTCCCTTGTTACTGTTATCTCCAAGAACACTAAGATAATCTACAGCTGGTTTATTGAACGTTCCCCGCAACAACTGTAAATTGGGGATGCAGCCTTTGTCAGTTACGGCCCAAAGCTATGGAACACAACCAATAGATATCCAAGAAGCAGCTCACTAAGTATTTTTTAATAGAAAGCTTAAGACTTATCTCTTCACATTAGCCTTCAGCCAGCTCTCATTTTAATTATTTATTTAGTTCATTATTATTCCATCTCATTTTACATTATTGCTTTTAACATGTTTTTATGTTCATTTATGCACTTACTGCATGCCATTTCTTAAAAGATAAATGTAAAGCACTTTGTGCAGCAATTCTTGTATGAAAGGTGCTATACAAATAAAGTTTATTATTATCATTATTATCATTACACGAGTACATAATGTTGCTCTTAGTCCCAGTAATATCTACATGAGTACCACACCACTTGTATACCAGTTTTACACTAGTATTACGGAGACAGTGCAAGCTATTGATATGATTTTAAACCAGCCTGTGCACACACAAACACTCATACATAACCTGACCTGCTGCACTATATAGATGCTGTAGTGGATCTGCTGTCTCTGCAGGAAGGGGTGGAGGTGGTAGAGCAGGGCACGGAGGTGGGTCTGCCGGTTCCGGTATGGTACCACTATCGCTGTGTGGTGGCGGGGTTCACAGTCTGGAGGCCGATAGCGTCCGCCTGGCATCACCAATGGATTCCTCTGTCTGATGTCCTCCAGAGACAGAGGAGAGGACAGATGGACAGACACAGGTCCGACTGGGGGGGGGGGATAAGTTTCAGTGATACTGTCTGGCTTTTGTCTGACCAATATCTTAGCAGAATACCACACACTAACAACATTCACTGTGCCTTTTACTGGATATGCATGTCATAACAGCACACATTTAACCCCTCCCTCCCTTACCCAGCAGTGGAGAGGGGATCTGGCAGTCTCTCAGTGGTGGTCCTGTGGCAGGGGATCCAGTGCCAGAGTTGCGAGGCGGGGGAGGCGGTACTCCCAGATGACTGAGGTTGGTGTAGACGTCATGAGGTCGAGAGTAATCAAACTCCGGCTCTGTGGTGTGCACCAGGACAGACACCAGGCCTTTGAAACCCCCGAGGGAGAAATAGAGGACAAAGGCAAACTGGAAGCCCACCAGCAAGGCTAGTGTGCACGGGGAGTCCAGAGAGCGCCCAAAGCACGCCATAATAAAATAATTGCGGAAATACAGAGAAATTCGAGGTGGGGAAATTGGTTGGAGGGATAGGAGGAGAAATGGGAAGGGAGAGCAAAGTGGTAGCTGGATGAGGAGGGTGGAGGAAAAGGTAGGATATGAGCAAGGGGAGGCAGAAGGAGAAGGGGGGTGGGGGAAGAGGCAGTGCTGTGGACAGGCTCAGATGTGCAAGTGGTGGGGATCCATCTGTAGGAATGGGTAATAGTAGTGATGAAGCTCAGTCAGCACTGCCATCACCTCCTGACCATAGACGTAGCTGAGAGGAAAGAAGAAAATGATTGTTAATTACAATTACTGCTTTTTGTTATTGTTAGTGCATCATATCATTCTAGATGTACCATACCTGATTTTGCAATTGGGTCTAATTAAAACCTGTCCCAGGCCATAAAGGGTTCACTCCACCTCTCTCCTCCTCTTCCCCCTTTCATCATCAAGCTTCTGAAAGAAAATAAGACCTAAGTGAGTAACAATGCAGCAGCAGGTTTGCCTCAGTACTGCTGTGTAGTCCACTGTAAGCTAAATTAAGCTGGGGAATGACAAGCAGCTACAAACAAATGTCATGTCTGCTTCTTTATTTAGAATGGCTTATTCCCAGCAGTGACATTCCATGGGGCGTATAAGGAAGAGACGCCTGATGCCTGCGGCTCAAATTAATCCAACATTACAGTTCCCTGTTTGTCCAAACAATTTCATGCTATAGCATGTCTCCTGAGACTGGAGTCATCAATGGAAGTGCGTCTGAATTTCCTGAGACAGGAAACCAGAATCCAGAGCTATTAGTAAAGGAGGAGAAACAGCGCCATGGTTCTCAGTAGGCTACAGATAGCTTTCCATCCAGGTGATCAGCCTATCAGCATCTACCGTTAGGCCTGTGCAGGCAATCATGTGCAGTATTTACATGAATAAAGCGAAAATATGTCAAAAAAATGTCGCTGGCTACAAGATTGCACAAAGGCAATCTGGCAATTTTGTCATATTAATTCAATACAAGCTCTGCTGCACCAGCCGACTCACCAGCATGTCCCTGCGACATTTCAAATCCAGCCCCCGGCTTCTTCTGACAATCGACAGGCCGCTGCCACCGAGTGGACGCGATGGACCAAAAGATAGCCTATCGTTTTTTGGGTTTTTTTTTTCTTTTTCTTTTTCTTTTCTGATGCTGGTCGCTCCACCTCCTCCGCCTCCTCCTCCTCCTCCTCCTCCTCCTCCTCCTAATCTCTCATCCGAGTCGAAATCACCCCGTAGCTGCTTAGAGAGCGCTGCAGCTGCAGACGCTTTCACACGCAAGAGCATAGCCGCATATCTGTCCAGTGTCAACACAGGCAAGTGCGCTCTGCCTCATCCAAACGCGGCTGTATCATCCAGTCAGATGGGCTGGGGCGCACCGCGGTGACGCACAGGGCGCTATATTTGAAAATGAAAAGGACGTGATGATGTTGCCACGGATGATTGATGCATTTATGTATTTGACCTCGTTAAATCAGTGCTTAACATTATTTATCTGAATGCAGATTAAGTTGAAGAAGCTAGTGTGGGACTTCATACTTGTTACAATATCACTCCACATTATTTTAGCCTGCATGTTGTGGTTATTTAAGTTTATATCATATATATTTGTCATTGTGAAAATGCTGCTACAATGTCTGTAGGATGCAGTGGGAGTTTTTCATTTTGAAAAGTGTTTTTTTTTTTTTTTTTT